GATGATTGCCACAAGGAGGAGGAATGCTCAGAAAATCAGAAACGAGAAGAATAAGAGCCAGTCATAGGGGATTGAAAGAGACAAATTGTAGATGATACACAGTGATACAGAGAGGTGGTTGAGCTGGGGGAGGCCAGAGAAACCCCATTTACACCAATAGAAGGAGTTGAACCTCAGTTAAGGAAGGTCAACCAGAGAATGTCAACCATCTGCAAGTACCGTAGTTTCTGATTACATTTTAATTTCTGATGAGGGGAGCCAGAGAGCTTCCAAGATGTGCAATCTTGCAAAGATAAGAGATTGCTGGCACGAAAGGCCAATGGCAAGAAGAGATGAATTATTGAAAAAGAATGACACGTAAATGAGCCGGTGAAACTTCCAAAAGGGAAGAGAAACACTCAAGAACTAAATGGGTGTACAAACTGAAGAAAGTATGATGGCAACCTAAGTGAGATACAAAGCTCGATGTCGTCAAAGGCCTTTTACTAAAAGAAAGGTATTGACTTTGATGAGTTTTTTTTCACCAGTTGTGGAAAATGATTCTATTCGAGTTGTGGCTAGGTCTAGTAGGGCACTCAATTTGAATCTTGGAGTACGAGAGCTTGATGTAAAGACGCGCATTCTTGCACCGGGGATCTAGAAGGAAGAAATCTATATGGAACAACCAGAAGGTTTTCAAGGTCAAAGGGAAAAGAAGGACATGGTTTGTCGCTTGAAAGAAAGAGCTTGTACAGGGTTGAAACAGCACCCAGCGACAAGTGGTATAAAAGTTTTTGATTCTTTTCAATGGTGAATCAAGGATACAAAAGGAACAAGAATAGCAGATCCCTTGTGTATATGTTCCAGTAAATTCCCTCTGATGGTAAAATTTAATTCATCCTTACTTTCTATATGTTTTGATGATATTGCTAAATCGTTGACAGATGCACATATGAATTAAGCAAGTTGAAGAGTGACTTTGTCAAAGTTAAGCATTTGACATTGAAGGAATTTGGGCATCGGCAAGGCGAATTCTCAGAATGGAGATTATTCGAGACAGAAAATCCTGGAGGTTTATGGTTATCGGCAGGAAGAAATATAATATTGAAGAGAGTTCTAGAGAGGTTTCATATGAAAAGAATGCTAAACCAGTTAGCACTCCGCTTTTGCCGCTCACTTCAAAAGTTGAGTAAGAAGTCACCCTACCCATCAAAGAGAAAGAAAAAAGGAGATAAACATGTCAAAATGTTCCATATTCTTCAGCGGTTGAAAAGTTTTTAATGTACCGCAAGTTGGCGTGTACAAGAACTGATACTCGCTCATAAAGCAGTTGGCGTTGTGAGTCCGATTTCTTGTTCAAAATCCCCAGAAAGACAATATTTGGGAAGTCAGTAAAGTGGATTTTCAGGATACCTGAGAGGAACTTCCAAAGTTATTGTTTAACTTTTGGAGGTGAAAAGGCTGGCACTAGTTGGTACACAGATGCACGACAATGGCTGGTGACCTTGATTAAAAAAAGTCTCATCAAGGATACCTATTTACATTATCAGGGAGAGCTATTTTTTCATGGCAGTCAAAGAATTGCAGAAATGTGTTTTTCATTAATCACAGGACTGAAAGCAGAGTATTTTTGCAGCAAAACCCCCGGAAAAAAAGCCCCCATAAAAGGGGGGGAAAAAAAAAAAAAGGAAATGCTTTTGGTTAAAGAAGATTCTTTCAAGAATTGGGTGTGCAGCAGGAAAGAAATATATAGTTTATTGGTGATAGTCAAAGTGCATTAGAACCACTTGAGCAAAAATAACTATGTATCATGCACGGGAAGAAGCCACATTGAATGTTAAGAATTATCATTTGGCTCAGACTTGCCAATTGAAAGAGAAGCAGTTCCAGATGCGGAAAATCCACAATGACAGAAATGGCTTGCAGATATAATTGACAAAGGTCGTTCCGAAGGAGAAGTTCGAACTAATGTATCAAAGAGCAACAAGGATGGAGAGTCCCATCCATGTAGCGGGAGGGAGAGAATTATTGTGGGGTCCCGCAACCATGTGGGACCCACAGACATTTGAAAAGGAAAAAAAAAAAAGAAAAAAAGAGATTCAAATGTGTGGGACCCACAGCACGTTTGAATGAAGAAAAAAAAAAAAAGAAAAAAAAGAATGAACACGTTTTTGTGGCATCAAAGGGGACGGTGCCAAAACAAAAGAAAAAAAAAAAGGAAAGAAAAGAAAAAAAGGGAAAAGTGGACCGCAGTGATTTAACGCGTCCACTCGCATCCCTTCTCCCTATAAAGAGGGAGAAGGATTTTCATTCAAGATGTTACAAAAACAAAAACATAAAAACAAAAGAAAAAATTTTTAGGAAAAAGGAGTTCCTAAAATTGGGAAAGAGAGAAAAATAGTGAGGATTGTAATTATTTGGGAGTGTTTTTTATTAAACACTTAGGGTCCACTATTTTTGTAATCTACCTATTGTAACCTACTAATTTTTTTTAAGTAAGAAGAAATTTATTCAGAAGTTTTTGTCGCCGTAAACGTAGCCCATAAAACAGTTGAAGGGTGAACCAAGTACATTCTCGGAGTTTTATTTTTTCTTCTGGCAATTTTTACGGTAATTATTAATTTTTTTTTACCGTGATTATTATTTTCTGGTCGGATTTCCGAATCGTTAATATTTCAATTAATTTTAAATATTCAATATTTAATTATTGGAAGTATATGTGGTAATAGTAATTTTATTTTACTTTTACCACCGGTATTTTTGCGGGCCCCACTCGGGATAAGTTACAATCCCAACACTTATTTGGCGTTTTTTGTCCCTTCTTTGTGAAGATCCTTCTTTGCGAGAATTTATTACTAAATAAAAGTATAATATTTGATTTTATTTGATTGGAGACATTAAACCTTGATTTGTTGAGGATTTTCGATCAATGGAACTCGGTGATACGGTATGTTCCTCCATTGATATTATTGCCGTATAATGGCAAGAACACTCATTTGTATATATTATATGTTGCAAATTCTTGGAAAAGTAATTCTAGATATAGAAAATTTAGAGGAATTATTATTTTGTCATCCAAATAATATGAAGATTTATATCTTTTAGTTAAAATCATCTTCAAGCGCAATGATATAATATTATTTCTTTTATTTTTAGTTTTGTTATTCATAAGAATATAAACAAATTCTTTTGATTTGTTAAAAAATTAAAGCTCTATGTATGATATAGTATTTATAATATTTGATATTATTATTAATAAATTATATTTCTCAAAACGTAGTAATTCTTCTTAATAAGGATTTGATTTCTATATATAAATTAAATTTCATTATGTTTAATTATTTATTTATTTTTGCAAGAAGTTAATTACGTTAGAAGTGTCAATTTGCCTATGAATAATTTAATTTCTATATCCGATTGAAAATTTAATACTATATGCTATTGTAGTGAATGCTATTGGATATTTAATATAATAAATGATATTTTTTAAAAAATTATTGAGTTTTATTGCTTTGCCAATTTTCCATTTCTTTCCAAGAAAGGCGGCTAGAAAAAAAAAATTACAAATTGACAAAATGAAAAAATAATTTACAATTAATTTCAGTGATTTACCTACGAAAACCAAGTTGTCATCAAACGTGACTACACGTGTCTGCTTATTATAAAATTGATAATTAATTCCACTAATCAATTTTTAAAGGACTAATTAAAAATTAAAACTTGCTTAAATTTACTGTTTCGCCTACGAACCAAGTTTCCATTTTGCTTGCAATGTTCTTACTGGCTTTGCTTTCCTTTTAAGCCATTTGACATTCAACTCCCTTTTGTTCACGTGTCCTTTTTTTTTTTTTTGGCCCTTGGTAATTTTACAATACTGGTATAATTATAAGAATATTATTAATAATATTATTAATAATTTATGTTTGCTTATTGGATTTTAAAATTTAAAAATTCATCGAAGCGGATCAATTTTTATTTCCTGTGGAGAACTCAATATATTATAAAAATCAAATTAGTGAAGCATATTTTAAAATTTTCAATCCATCAATTGAGTTTAGACTTGAAAATTTTAAATTTTAAAAATTTTTTACTTATTTGAACCGTGATATTTTTCTAATTGAATCATTAAACAAATCATTGAGAGTTAAAAAATTGAATCCGTGATTATTATATTAGCTTTAGATTTAATTTTGTTCCAATTAACTTAAATTTAATGAATTAAATAATTAATATGCGCACGCTATAAAATGAAGGGAACATGCTTTAACAAAATAAATTAAAGATTAAGTAACTATTTAATACGATAGGTTTGGTCAATAATAATAATTATTTAATGCTAATTAATTCTTCATCTGTAACCTATTGAGCTATTTAATTATTTTATAAAAAGTATCATTTTAAAGAATAATTATACGGTGAAACAGTGACATCAAATCATCACCATGAGTTGAAATGATAATTTAATAAAAGTAATAAATATTAAATATGAAACATATGGATTAAAATTAAAAAAGAAGATAGAGAGTGATTAAAAGATCAAAGTATTTTAATTTTTACTGGATTGCTTGTTATAATTTAATTCTTACAATCTACTATTGAATTACTATTAATACTATGACTAACCCTACAAATAATATTTTTTTGAATAAAAGACTAAATAGTTTGATGAATTCAAATTTCAGAGACTAATCAATCTATTTATTAATTAATAGACGCAAAATTATAATAAAATTTGAAAAATCAAATATTTGATTCCCTAAATTTAATTATAAATTATTAATTAATGTTAGAATTCTACCCTTAAAAAAATGGTCAATTAAAACAGCACCCCGCAATCCTTCACCCGTTGTTCAAAAATTTTTATTAGCTCAGCTGAAAATTAACGTGTGGTAGTTGGCGGCAAAACCGAACCAACCGGTCATCGGTTTTCACCTTGCTGTACAATGGTAAACTGGTAATAACAGTATTCTCCACGTCCATTTTCTCAACTAATCCCATCTTATAAATTATTAATCATATAATTTCTGGTCTAAGAAAATCGTAAGGTTCCTCCACGTCGACAAACGCAGACGCAGAGAGATAGAGAGAGACACCCAGAGAGAGCTCGAGTCTCTTACATGGCGGCCACAGCTCGAGCTTTCATTCTCTCTCGTATATCTGATTTATCCTACAAACCTCAGCCGAAACCTCCGCCACCAGCTCTCTTGTCCCGCCACAACTTCTTTCAACGCCGTTCCTCTTCTTTTTCCTCCTCCGCAGTCGCCACCGTTAGTTGTCTCAGTAGCGGCGGAGAAGTTTCCGATGACTTCGTTTCAACTCGTAAGTCTAATTTTGACCGTGGTTTCTCTGTAATCGCTAATATGCTTAAACGAATCGAGCCTCTCGATACTTCCGTTATCTCCAAAGGAGTTTCTGATTCTGCTAAGGATTCGATGAAGCAGACTATCTCAACAATGCTAGGATTGCTTCCATCTGATCAATTCTCTGTTAATATTAGGGTTTCGAAGCATCCTCTCGATCGTCTACTCATTTCCGCGATTATTACGGGGTAAATTATTCGTTACTTTTAAATTATGGAGTTTGATTGGTGGATTTGATTAGATTTTTTGATTGGATATTGGTGTGATTTTAGGTACACGTTGTGGAATGCTGAGTATAGAATATCGCTAATGAGGAATTTGGATATCTCTGTGGAGACTTCGAAGAAATCGAATTGCCAAAAAGAGAAAGAGGAATTAAGAGAGGTGAGTGAAGATAACGAGAGCGGAGTTGGTGAGATTGGCATCCAAGATTTAGAGATTAGTCCTCAGGTTTTTGGTGATCTGTCACCGGAGGCTTTAAGTTACATTCAAAAGTTGCAGTCAGAGTTATCTAGTATGGAGCGGGTGAGATTTTTTTTTTTTCTTTGTTGATAATTATTAAGTTTTTTATATTGATAAGGTGCAGGATATATAATCAGAGAGATATGTTATTATTGTTGATATTGATAACTTGTTTACAACTTAAAATTACTGGCTTGGCATTAGTCCTAAATTCCTCAGTTTACGATGATCATTTTCTTATATGTTTTAGAATGATTAAAGTATTATTTAATTATGAAATTCGGTGGGGTTTCATAATATGCGTGCATTTTTACTTGGTTTTTTGAAGTTGATTTCTCTGTACTTGGTACTTATTAGATATATAAATTTAGAAGCTTTCTATATTTAGTTTCGTCTTCTAATTTTAGTGATTGAAAGCAGTGTTATCAGAATCTTATGATTTATGATTTGAATCGTATGTTTCAATTCAATTTTTATGCTAAACAATTCGAATCTTATGGATGAATCAAAATTGGACGTGAATCTTACGATTCATGCAATTCGAATCTTACGATTCGAGTCGATTCTCATTTCCAATGATTTTTTTACCCAACAAAACAAGTGGAAAAAGTCGATATAGAGAAAGAAGAGCATGAAAATATAGTTATATTAGAAGATGAAAATGACGAAGGCTTTAATTTGGAAATGTGATGAATGAATATGGACTTGAATGGGAAATTCAATGGCTTGATATTTTTACTTTGTTTTTATTTTAAAATTTTAACTTCATAGTTTGATATTTTGAATTTGACAACTCCACAATTCATTAGGTCTCTTTCATTTTGTATTTAGTACATGATTTGGAATTGAAATCTATATGGGTTGGAAATCTAATCCATAAATGTATATCTATTTATTGTTAATTAATTTTGAGAAGTCAATACCGAATCTTACGATTCGATTCTCGATTCTAAAAATAAAAATTTCAATTCTCAATTTGACAACTGTGATTGAAGGCATTACCATTGTTTATCAACCAAAAGCGGAATCAGTGGTTGGTTGTTTTCTTTGCATCACGTATCTTTTGTTTTCATTAGAAGTGTAGGGAGAATTGTACATTGATTTTCATGTTGTGGTTTGGTCATAGACTGGTCTAATTTCATATCAACATAAGACTCCTATGCTTCTACTTCAATTGGATTTGAATTTTCTTAGTGTTGTAATGTAGCCATGAAATATACTATGACATTTTTAGTCGATCAGTCAGGTGGACCCTTCAATTACCACCTTTTCTATAATTCAGTTATACTAGTTATGTACAGTGTTTGAAGAAATGCAAAATACATGATATCCAACTTAACTTTGTTCTTCATAATATTGGTGCTTTAGGACAATTAGGACTCGATCTAGCATTAGCTCAAGTTATAGTAACAACTAATAGGTATAAATATGATGCAGCAGTTGTGAAAGAATTGTCTAGAGGTTTAATTAACTTCTTGCTAAAAGTCTAGACATGTAGAATGCTTTATATGCTGGTGCCTATATGCTGTAGTTAGACTCTGTTTGATGAAAGTTGAGAAGATTAGTTGCAGAGGCATCAGCTTGGATGCTTGCCGCTTGTAGAATCTGAAATCTGAATCCAATGTGTTACTATTAAATTTTATGCTTTCTTGATACCTGTAGCTTTGAACAAACATCGATATGTACATGGTACAGGACTTTCCTTGTGTCGATATGGTTTTGATATTTGTTGGTGGCAGTTGATCTTCTGGAGACAGTTCAATTATTTATTTGAAATTGTTCAGATTGAAATGTCTTTATTGTATAGTGCTAATCTGGATTTTTGAATGATAAGGTGCTTGATATTCTGACTTGAGATGATGATATGTTGTGTCAGGAACTCAATGACTGGAAGAAAGAAACCATGCAAATAGAATGTAATAGAGGAAGTAGGAACGATTTGTTAGAGTATCTGCGTTCATTGGATCCTGAAATGGTAATGGCGTCCTCCTTCTTGTCCAAAATTGTACTATCTTATTTGGAAGTTGGAGTTTATATTTAAGTCTGCAATATATTTAAAACGATTTCATTTTGTACTTTGATTTTTCCAATAGGTATCAGAATTATCTCGACCATCATCTGTAGAAGTGGGGGATATTATTCACCAGCTTGTTCAGAACATATTAAGAAGATTTTTCAAAGATGATCCTTCTAATTTCATGGACGATTCAGCTGTTACAAATCCAGAAAGTCACAAAGATGGTGAATTTTGTGACACCATGGGCACTTCTCGTGATTACCTAGCAAAGCTGCTTTTCTGGTTAGTAATTTATGTTTACTCTTCATAAATTGATGGTGAATGCCATAGTTGAATTGGTCATGCAGTCGATTGAAAACTTGTATCCGTGTTTTGCATGCTAATAGATATTAAGTGAGCATGTAATACTTTTTTCTGCATGAAATAATTCTGTAAATATTTAAATCTAAAATTGGTTAAAATTTTATGAAAATAGGTGCTTGCTAGGAATGTATTTTTATTGTAAGTTCATAATCATGTCTGCCGAAACTAACTAAATTCTTTTGTTAACATATATACTGAATTTATAATTGGCAGGTGTATGTTACTAGGGCATCACTTGAGAGGGTTGGAGAACAGGTTGCATCTAAGCTGTGTTGTGGGATTGTTGTAAAGAAAAGGAAATGGAGGAGGAGGCATGTACATTCCTTTCTTTTTGTTTATTTTATGTACCTATTGCTTTTCAACTGTAAACAATAGATACACCCCACTTCTTGATTCCTTCTGTTCTCAATCTTCTATGCTGTCTCAAAAGGGCAAAGGCAATATAATGTCCATTTCATCCTTCTGAATAATATATATAGTCTCAAACTAGCAACCTTTACATTTTGCTGTACTTACTGAAAGTTATATGAGCCTACCTACGCCATCAGTGATGAAGCTATAGCTTCAAAAACCACCTTGTTCCTGTGCAGAAGCTTGCTTTGCACGACTCATTTTTATGCACCGTCACCAATTAAATTGCAAGGCTTGCATCTAGGCTTGACGTGGCTTTTTATTTTATTTTATTTCATTTTATTTTATTTTCGTGGCTGCTACTTACCTGTAAGTTTTGTTTCACGTTTTAAATTTGAATTTGCAGTAGTCATTTTTAAAATTTAATAAACATACAGGTGGTGATGTCTTTTTGTGTTCAGTTTGTAAAATGTTTTATCCATCCCCTAAAATTTGTATGGGAGGGTGGAAATTGATAAAATGAATAATTGACAAGTAATTTATATTATTTTGAATTTCGTCGACCAACAATTCAATAATATTGCTTGTGATGTGATATGAATGGTGCCATGTATATATAAAAATTTAAATAACAAAAAATATAAATAAAGTAAATAAAATATTCTTTCGTAATAATAATGACAATGAATATGTTCCAATTGCTAATGAGAATTTAGTTTAAGCATTTGTTCAATTGGAAGGATATATTGGTTGAATACGATGTCTAAAGGTTTGGTAAAATATGGATATTGTTTGATATTTTTAAAAGTTATTAAGATAATATAATATTTTACTTGATTGATAGAATAAGTAGATTAAAATAAGTGGTATTTTGGAAGTTTGCAGTACTCGAGCGATCGGATTCGTGGATACTATGGTTATAGACAAAAAAAAAAAAAAGCTGTACTCTATACTTTTGATTTTCCTATTTAAAAGTTAAATCAAACACTTATTATCAATGAATTAAAAGCTAACTGCCACTCTAATGTTGAGAACAAAATTCCATAGCAAAAAACTACAAAGAATTGATACAAACGAATTTCAGTATTTATACTCCCTTTCTATACAAAGGAAAACTCTGTCCTCTCACTCTCAGGCACTCAGCCCAAAATATAAAACAGAGGACAAAAAGTTATAAAATAAACAAATAAAAGAATCAAATGAACAAAGATAACAACGACTAAAAGATCATTGTCGTCTTCTTCTTTGATGGTCTTTATGCAGGTCATAGGGTGCCCATAAAGAATCAATAGGGCAAGGCTTATTCTCATCAAGTCTTATCCATGGCTTCCCTTTTCCACTCCAATGAATCAAGCTAACATTTCCTGGATGCAGAGACCTACAACTTCTAACCACATTATCTCCCCCAAGTCCATGTTGATTCCATTTATGTTCAATACTCTCAACTTCTCCACCAAAAACTAATAAAAATGGTGGAAGAGAACCCAATTCATAAATCCTTTTCTCCTTCTGTATTCTCATCCATTTCTCAATTTCCTTTGTATATTCACCTTCTCTCCATCTCTCCAAATCCATCACCATTACACCTGTATTAAAATAACATGCATTTTTCCCTTCAAAAACCCCAGAAAGTTCCCTGTCTCTCCAGAACTCATTAGTAAAGTACTTCTTTAAGTTCACATGGCAATATTGAGGTGCTCCTATTGTTCTTGACCCAGTAAGAGAAATCTTCCATAGTTTTTCAATGTCATCAACAACTATAACATCCGAATCTAAGTAAATTACTCGTTTAATACAAGAATCGAGCAAATCCGCTATATAACTTCTTGCATAGTTTAATGGGTTATTAAGAGCTGGGCGTATAGAACTTGAGATCAGACTATTTACCAAATCCTCTTCAAAGAGATAGACTTTAAATTGCAAAGAAGGAAATGCAGACTGTACAGTCTCGGATAACTTTTTTGGACTAATTAAGCTCGAGTCAGAAGCAATGAAGTGAAAGAAAATATTTTTAGGGCAAGAAGCATGTTTAAGAACTGAATGGATTGCTGCTATGGTGCCTCTTAAGTATTCTGGATCAAGAGTCATAGCTATATGAACAAGAAATGGATTACAATGATGCAAAAAACTGTTTTTATCGACAGAAGGACATTCTTGTCCATTTTGATAATCTGGAGCTTCCAAGAACTGCAAAGAAAGATAAAATCTTTCAATCTTTATCTCATTACTCTGTAAAGAAGATCGAATAGCATTGCTTGGAAAGAGGAATAGAGAAATAAAGAAGATTGCTACTAAAATTAATCTATAAAAAAACATTACTAATCGAGGACTTAAAGACAGCTCTGGTAGCTTCTTGTTTGTGAAGGAGATGATAGAAGAGAGATTCGAAGTTTTATAAAGAAAGGTGTAGATATGGAATAGTCAGAACAGAAAGAGAGAATACAAGGAAGGCAAGCAAAGAGTAGAAAGAAAGGCCATATGCTTAAGTATACATATATAAAAGGATACGCGGTTTCTGGATGTGAAAGTTTCGCTGCTTTGAATTCAAAGTTGGTAATAGACTGGAAGTTTCTTTAACGCGTCTGTGCTTTTAATATTCACAATATGGAGTTTTTTTTCTTTTTTTTTTTTTTTCATATAAAGAATGTTCCAACAGATTTGAAAATCAACACTCAATAGTTAGATTTAAGTTTTTCTTATTTGCTATGCAGCTTAACATGCTCTTTGAATAACATTCATCAAATTGATGATAACTTTATAGTGGAGAGAACTCAAACTCGAAAACATCAATCAGGCCATACTTGATTGGCTCATATTTATCACTTTTTACCATAAAATTTATGTGATTTAAATTTATATTATAAATATATGCATTTAGAATTTGAATTAAGATTGATAATTTATGTTATTTATGGATTTTGAACATTTTATTACATATTCATAAAAGACTTGCTATAAGTACAAATAAATTAAAAGAAGTAATTTACAAATAATTTAGCTAAACGAAAATGAAAATTTGGTGAAGCTAAATAATTATTGTTATTAAATAAAATTCTTTTAAAAACAAATTAAAACATATTGTCTTCTTGTTGTGCAACTTCATAAAATAAAGACTTTCACGAGAATACATTTTTTTTTTGAAGAGAACACTAAACCATACCCAAGATATAGTGTAAGGGTAAGACCCGATGCAACCTTTATAAAAATCATGATAAACACGATTAATATTCTTAAAAATTATAATCAACTAAATTTTAGTCGAATGAGTTGACATTGTACTTTATTTTCCAGAATGCTAATATTGGAACCCAAATGGAATTATTTTAGTTGAGAGTTTATTCCTGAATATTAAAAACGGATTTTAGCAATTTCAGAAAAAAAGAGAGAATTTTAGCTTCAAGTGCATCCACACACTTACTTTTATTTATTTATTTATTTGGACTGTTGGATTATTGGTAGAATGGAGACATGTGATAGCATGTGCTATATATAACAAAATTATATTATTTTATTAATGTTCATGCTTATTTTTATACAGTATATTCTTCACAATTAGTACCATTTATTGACATTCCGAGGACCTTGAATACGGCTATACAGTTTTAATTAATTTATTAAATTTATTAATTAATATTATTATAGTTCTCTGAGTTTGCACATTGAGCAATACTGAACGTATAAAATGCAGTGTTGGTATATAATTGTTTCCAAATTCAAAAAAGGCGTCTATTTTAAGCACATGAGACAATAAGGAGCCTCCAATTATACAAGTCACATATCTACAGATTATTCTTTTTCTTTCCTGCTAAATATATAAATTCACTCTTAAATTTTATAATACTTTATGATATGTACAGATTATTTTTTTTCTTTCCGGATAAATACATAAATTCGCTCTTAAATTTTGTAATACTATATGACATCTTCAACTTATATTTTAACCTATTAAACACTTTATAAAATTATACTTATAAACACTTCGATGCTTTAACTTGCAGAATTATTTTATTGAAAATTTGGAAGTTCAATGCAATATAAAGTTCAAGATAGGAATAAATAAATAATGACACGTCAATATAACAGGAAAAACCCTGAATAATGACCAAATAAATAAATAAATAAATAAAAGGAATTACAGAGATTTATCAGTAATAGGAAACACATCAATATAACCTCTTCAACAAACTCCACCAATAAAGAATCTGTATATCAAATAATAATTTCTGCTGATACCATGTTATAAAAAGAAAAGGAAAGGAGAGAGAGAGAGAGAGAGAGAGAGAGAGAATGAGTACAAAGTCTCCAAAATCTGCAGAACAAAATTCTTATGCTCCTAAGAAAGAAAACTGGGAGCTTTATATAGACAATTTCAGTTTTACCCCATCTTATCATTTGTTCACTCTTACAGATTCAAGTTAGTTCCACTCTAGGAATTTAATTGAGCTCACTCAGATCCACAAACAGTAAGTGTGGCAAACTGTTAATGTGGGAAGACTATTAACAAAAAAAAAAAAAAAAAGGTGTTTCACGTCTTACAGATTTCAAGTTAGTTCCACTCTAGGAATTTAATTGAGCTCACTCAGATCCACAACAGTAATGTGTGACAAACTGTTAATGTTGCGAATACTTATTAACAAAAAAAAAAAAAAAAGGGAATATAGGGCTTCCTACCTACAACAACACAGAGATAAGGATTAGATACATTTTCTACAAAAAATTAGGAATATCATGACGATCAACCCTATTTTACACCACCATGGCTTTCAAACAAGCTGCCCTTACAAAGTTATTACACGTCCTGAAGCCGTCTTGAGGCCCATTCCAAATTGGCAATAAATATTACTTGGGAAGTTTGTCTCAAGGAAGTTTTTATACTTTCAATTGCGCCGAGGAGTTCTATACAAACAGAAAAAAAGCTGGTTGTTTAAAAATATCTGGACATGTTCAGTAGATTGATTCAAGGTTTTACTTACATTTATTGGAAGCTAATGATTTCTACCTTCAAATCCAATGGTAAAGGAAATCAGAAACTATTCCATTGAGGCTTGATAAGAATCTTGTGAAAGCATTTGTACTACGTGCCTGGACCTGAGATCATTGATTTTTTACATCGGATTTTTACTTGTGATGGGCTTCTTCTTTTTCTTCTCAATCGAAGAAGGAAATCCTTCCGTGTCCAGTACATAGGGAAAATCTGCCAAAAAACAATACTAGATATTTCAGGACGTGGTACACTTCAAAGGAAAGAGGGACCAGTATTACACCAAAAGATTTTATTTGAAAAAAAAAAAAAAAAAGGAACCACACAAACAAAAAGACGTTTGGAAAAAAACAAAAAGATTTGTTACTGCCTATGTGGAAGAGGGTTTTTTAAAAAAATAGGGGCCAAATGGACAAGAAAAAAAAAGCTTCGAAACCTTTAGGCCCATCTTTTATAAATTTGGCCAATTTTTTTTAAATTTTATCCCAAATTGGGCTTTACTGTCGACTTATTAATTATTATTGATAGAGATTGTTGAGAGAGATATCTCTT